CTGAAGAAAAAGGAAACATTTGTTCAAAAAACTCAAGTGTTAATGATAAAATTCAAACAGAATGAACGAGGATCTGGTACCAAGGGCTCAATAGAAAGTAAATATTAGAAAATAATGATGGCAACATATGTACAAATATGCTTGATAAAATTGATGTATGGATTGTTATGAGTTGTAAGAGCCCCCGATAAAATGATCTTTTAATAAATTTTTTTAAAGAATGGTTTAGTTTTTCAGTTTCATGAATGCCAATATTTTATTTGATCAATTCCACCAATTTAATGTGACCTCTGAATGACATCCTTTATTTGCTTCCTTCAGAATGTAGTCATGACAATTTAATTTGTTATAAGACCTAACATTATACGTTTGATTTTTTTTAAGTAGTCTCAAATTTTTTTATTTTTTTCATTTAAAATAGCTCGAGGACACATGAGCCCAGAGAGGAATATCCTCATAATTTTCCCTTCTATGATGGCTCCCAGGGAAGAGCACAACCTGAAACAAATTATGGGAGCAACTATTTTCCAACGATGCACATGAAGCCTCTCTTTGTATGTATTAGGCATCTCAATTTCTATATATGGGTATCAGCACCATAATTCAAGTGAAAAAAACTTTACAAATGCCAAGGTTTCATTATATTTAGATGAAAAATCAATCAAAATAAAGGCATGGAAAATTTGGTTTGTGTGACTACACCTACAATTTCATTTTGTCAAAAAGAATTAGAAAATATGAGTCAAAGTTATAGTATTTACATAAAATATTTATATTAAACATGTGAATATATTTTATATCTAATAGGTCCGTGTACTTGTATATACCTATGAGTATATATACACATGTATAAATATGTATATTTACATATTTTTATATATTTACATATAATACTTAAATTTACAATCATTAGAAATGTGATTTGAGATCAAAGAAAGATGGTTAAATCCCATAAGACTAATTGAGAAGTGAAGTGTGAGACTAGTCTTAAGTTATTATAGCCATTAATTTTTAAAAATTTCATGAAGAAACTATTTTGCATTTTAGCACATTGCCCAAACATATGCTGACAAAATACTTGTTGACTGCTAGTCAGAAATGACTTGATGGCAATGTTTGGTTTGAGCTATATGATATATTACCTATGAATGTAAATTGTAATTTTTTGTAAACGTGTTTAAAAATAATTACCAGACAAAAATATGAAACAGATTATTACCTGAAAGTAATCTTTATAAATATTATTGGAAAACATAATTAATATATAAAAATAAAATCCACACAAAGGAATTACTAATTTTTCTTGGTCTTGAGTTTTCAGGGTCTTTTAGGAGCTAGTCAATTATGGTTGAGCTGACAACATAGCAAAATAACCTTCAAAATATCCATTGTAAATTTATGAGTGAACTAAGATTAATTAAGGAAATGAAAATGTGGAGTTCTAACGATGATAATTGTGCAAATGGAAGATGTGTGATGGGATAAACATTTATTTTGCTAATGTGACTCCATAGGATTGAGTCAGAGTTCCTATGCTACCTGTCTCTCTGTCTATCAGGTTTACTGCCACATTGTTGCTAATGTGATTGCCTAGATCTGATTTGATTGAGATACAGCTTAAAAGACTCTACTCAATCCTCACTTTCCTTTAGGTCAAAATCAAAACTCCCAAGTAAGTCATGAAAGGCCCTTGATATTCTAGCACCTCATACCTTTATACCTCTCTACCTTGATCTCTTGCTGCTCCTGGGATTACACCCTATGTTCCAGCCATTCAAAACTTACTTTCTCACAAGCACGATATGCACTTTCATGAATCCATGTCTGGGAGATAACGAATTCTTACATACTGTGCTTAAATATCATATTCTTTATAAAGTCTTTCCAAATTCTCTAAGCGGAGTTGGTGCTCTCTCCTGTACCTTAACCCTACTGTGTTCTTCCCACCATTGTAATCCTAAGGTATCCTTTTAGTATAATTTCTCTATCTGTTGGTCTCTCTCTCCTACTTAGAATTCATTGGAGTTAAGAAAAACTGGCTTTAAAAAACCATTGCAAAAAAAAA